AATTTGCATATTGTGCGGCCTTAATTTGCGTATTTAGCACAAAATACTGGTTTGATCTTCACTGAAATGGCTTGATCTGATTCCTTATCCCTCAAAACATGGGGATAGACACCAAAATTGTTCTGATACGATGTGTAGTTACTGAGATATTGACGAAAACCCGATTTTCAGTAATGGCCGCCCTAATTTGCATATTGTGCGGATTGCCCAAGGATGACAGAGTGGCATCATTCAGATTCTGAAAGAGCACACCTCAGAGATATAGAAACACCAAAAAAACTTTGTATGGACCGTATTGCACGCTTATCGGTCTCTGCCACCAGACTAATCTAACTTGAGAAATGTTTTACCCTTTATGAAGGTTGTCCCTTCTGCCCCCTCTGATCTGGTTGGGATTTCTTCCAGACCATCGTTAGTTTCCTCTGGAGAGTACAATTTATTAATTAGTTCATCAGAGGTCAGGAGATGGATTACAGCAATTATTAAGGATGTAATCCCTTCATAGAAATCAAGATGTACGTCCTGACTACTGTAACAGTGTTTGGTGGAGTGAAGGTTGTGCAGATGCCATTGATGGGCTACAGTTGGAACAAGTATTATAATTGTACATGGCATATTTGGAATTTTCCTGTCACTTCATCAATGATGGCTTCATCCCTCAAAACGTAGCCGGCAGCTTTCTACAGCAAAGAAAGGTAAGAACTTACTAAGAGAGAGATCTCGCTCATTTCCCTTTGGGTCATTCGTGTCCTGAACTGGATGGCCGGCAGCTGCAAACAAACATGATAAAATTTTCATTTTAACTGTTGAAGATTTAGTATTCCACATTCCTACAACTATAGTCCAAATCAGAAGAGAATATTACAGAAAGTATAACCATTGTAGTGCATAACTATATCTAGCTGAATTACATGTAGTACCATTGATATCACTACCAAGTTGAACATGATTGCATTTCTGAAACATACAATTTTGTACTAAACTGTCACTTCTTCAGCACAGAAGTAGATACTAACCTGATACAGCTTCTTTGGGGTCCATCTCTGAAAAGGGAAGGTTGAATAAATTTTGTCACTCTTTACTGACACTCTTGAGCTTTCCTGTCTATATCTGGTATGAAATGTGAAGTAACAGCTAACCTAAGCTTGTAGTTCATTCCCCCAAGAAAAACTATAAATACCGCTTAGCATTGATATGTTAAAGAGTGTGCAAGTTGAACACTCACACATCGCTACCAGTGAGTACACTATTATATAATAGCTAATTGGCCTGCGGTAGGTTTATCTGTGAGTGAACAGCTGTGCAGCCCAAGGTCTGGGACTACAAAAACAAAGATGGGTGCTGCTTTATACACCGCATGGAGCAGGAAGGACGTATGCCTTTTTTAAACTGCTTGTTGCAAGAAACAAGCTAAAATGCATATCTAAATCTACAACAATATTGTGAAGCTACACATTCATTCAAAATAAACCTTGCTTGATATTAATGATAAAAGGTAATGTAAATTTGCAATGCAACATCAAAAATGTGTAGTTACATTACACTGCAAAAGGTGTACAAGTACAGGCTGTTTTCTGACAAGCTGTCTTGTGGCAAGAGATGGAGACAGATTTTGAACTCACCTTCATCCTCATCTTCCTCCTCCTCTCCAGCATCACTTTCCTGCCCTGTGTTGTTTGGCACAGTCATCAGATGTTCCAGCTGAGACCCTCCTGTGATGGATTCATGAATCAGATGTAAATTGTACCACTGATGGGTGTGGTTTGTTGTCACCATTCAAGCATTTTTACCATCAAAGATATAACACATTTAAGGTCACCGTGTCGGATGTATGATAACCCTAACTTTGCATAACTTGTTTTAAAGTTATTTACCTCATGAGCCATCAAAGAGGTGGCACCACATTGAAAAATTAATGTAAAACATTTTTTGATGGACTCGTATATATTCACACACCTTCTGGGTCTGGTCTGGCCTGTCGGCTGCTTGCTGCTTTTCGTCGCCTCTTCTTGCAGAAACAAAAGATTGTAACAGCTACAGCTACCATAAGGAGTACTACTACTGTTACAGTAGTTCCAGCAATCATGGCTATCTGAGTTTGGTGGATTAGTTCAACAGGCCGACGTGACTTCCCTCCTATGGCTTCTGTTGTTGTCACTGGAGAGTTATTTTGTGGTTCCTGAGAATCTGCGGTTGGCACACTGCGGGAGTTGTCCTTGGGCCGTGACGTCTCTTCTGAAAAAATCGATCACAGGTTAACAAGATCAGGTGAATTTGGCTTTGACTGGATTAGTTTCTATTAACTCTATGAGCTTAGCGGCTCCTTTATTTATTTTCTCACTAGTAGTAGTACGTATACTCAGGTCCAAAGAATTAATTTTAAGACAGCATGACTTTGTAAAATGACAAACAGCATTTGTAAAATGAAGTTCTGTATGCCATTGGGAAAGTCACTTTGCCAATAAAACCAATATTGCTGATTAAAAGTAAATTATTAAATGTGTGGAGCTTTGTTCCAATCAGGACCTCAGAAATATATGCACATGTTTTGATGATTGCATATCTTGTTCATAATCTCAATGTATGTCCATTGGGTTACATGTAGTTTCAGACAAATTGGATAATATAAACTGGAGCCATGAAAGTTTAATTTTAGATAGCTTGACTTGGAAACCGTTTAGTGTGTGATGCCATATGAATTATAATGTTTGAGTAGCAGGTGTCACATAAACTACTGTGCTTCTTGCCTAATACTGTGTGTCATATGTGATTTTTAAAAAATTCTTAACAATGCCATATGCAATGTAACATACGGAGATCCCCTGGCCCTGTAGCAGGAATGAGTATGGCCCCACACACGGTATCTTGTCCCGGTGTGCAGGGCTCGAGTGTTGTTCTCTGCAGCGCCCTGCAGTCGGTACACACCATGCAGACTTGGGTCGCAGACAGCTGGTCTGAGTACGTCCCGGGGTGGCAGGGCGTGCACTTGGTGTCATACATGGCCACAGCTGTGCACAACAAAACAAAACAAAGCACTGGATATTCCAATAAAATTTCACCTTGCACCGCACAATATGATCTTCTTGTGTGCTAGTTGCTCCTGACTCAGGGTAGCCTAAAATTCTGATGCGCTACAGAGTAGTGTGAGCAAGGTAGTATTCACACTGTGCTACCAGGCTCAAAAAAGGAGTCGAATACTGAGTATGACATATGTATTGAAATGTAAGATAAAACATGCAACACAATTTTTTACCTATGTTGGAGACCCCCTCTCCAGCTTTGCACTTGGTGATCTGCCGACATCCCCGCTCTGTCATGTTCCAGTACTTTCCATCCTCACTCGCGAACCGTGTCCTTAAAACAGCAACAAAATACAGAATTTCTTCAAAAAAAGTATGTTTGCTGGAAGTACTTCAATCTGCTTTTTTCCTGCTGTATCTGTACTAGTATCTGTTATAATAGCCAGTATAACCGCCTTTTAGCGTAACACACCAGCTTCTGTATCTGTATAGCCGGTATAACCGCCTTTTAGCATAACACACCAGCTTCTGTATCTGTATAGCCGGTATAACCGCCCTTCGGCGTAACACACCAGCTTCTGTATCTGTATAGCCGGTATAACCGCCCTTCGGCGTAACACACCAGCTTCTGTATCTGTATAGCCGGTATAACCGCCCTTCGGCGTAACACACCAGCTTCTGTATCTGTATAGCCGGTATAACCGCCCTTCAGCGTAACACACCAGCTTCTGTATCTGTATAGCCGGTATAACCGCCTTTCGGCGTAGCACACCAGCTTCGCAGGCACGCGGCGCGGCGGCAGCTGTCTACAGTACACCGATCGACTTGTTACACCTAATCCTTGAACATCAACCACACACACAAAACGCTAATTGCAATAATCAATAAAGCAGATAGTACTACAAATCAGTTTTAAGTTACTACACAATACCTACATTTTCCAATATTTTTGTTTTCAATTTTCATATATTTGCTCATTTTGCAGCTACTTTGAACAATTTACAGGATGGTTGAAAACTTTTCTTTTTGAAACCGACTAAAAATTCATGCACAGGCAGATGGTATCCATATAATCAAATCACCATGGCCTTACTAGAGCCCAATACAAACATACGTGAGTCCTGTTCCCTTCCCTGATGACAACTCCTGTCCTTCCATCGTTGATGTCATGGTCCAGCGGAGACACAACACAGAAACTGTGGGGTATACACCTGTACACAGTGTACTGTACAGGGGGCTGGTAGGTTCTGGGGGGGCAAGGGGCACATCTGCCAGTGGGAGTGTCATCACAGTAGGACCCTGGTATGGGGGGGGGGGGGGTACAGG